GACGGGAAGAACAGAACCAGACAGGAGCTGCTGACGCCAGTTCACAAGTGACAGTAAGACCCAGACATCCCGGCCCATGGCCTTGGCCCTGAGTTCATGCCTTCTGTCTCGGGGAATGTGTGGGGCCCCGGGCATTGTCCCAGGCAACTCCTGTTCCCTGGGGAGACTGATTAGTGCTGGAGGGAGAGAAAAATGATCTTCCCAGGAGGAGATGGAAAGAGCCTGTCCTTAGGATCAGACTAACTGGCTTGCACTCCCAACTCCACCTCAAAGCTGGGTGACTGGGCAGATCCTTTACCTTAAATCTCAGCTTCCTCATCTGTGAAGTGTGGATAAGATGGCCCATGTAGAGGGGATTAAGGAGAGCTTGTGACCAGTGGCAGTCACTGGGGGCCCTGTCGTGCCAGGACTGTGTCAGGATGCCATGGATTACTGTCTAAGCTCTGAGGGCAGGTGCTCAGCATGGCATCTCTTCCCTCCTGCTCCGGGGCACTCAGGTGACCCTACCTTCTGCACTGGTGAGTGTCTTTCATTTCACCTGGGTGTAGCATGGAGTCCCTCTTCCAGTCCTGGTGGTCTAAGAGGTACCCCAAACCCAGAACCTCTAGGGCCTCCTACTTCAGGGGTTGCCTTCTCAGACATCCTGTTGGGTGCTGAGGATCCTTTAAAACATTGGCCCACATGTGACTATAACCCTGGAATTATTGAAAACAATAAAATTCTGGATTTCTCGGCTTCAGGCCTGGTTCTGCTTGGGGGGTACCCACCCATGTCCTCCTCTCCCATCCTTTCAGCTCTATTTAAAGTGGAAGGACCTGACCTATTTTGCAGGTCTCTGATGTTGGGAAAGGTGGGACCCTACCCCATACTAATAAGGGGTCCTTAGGAGAGACCCCAGACTAAGAAAAGATATATACCATATGGAAAGCCTGGTCTTCGTACAACAAGAGGCCACCCTGCCCTAGGAACTTGACTCCTTTGGGCAGACAGGCTGAGGTATCTAGACACGCTCTGCATACAGGTAAGTCAGGACTAGACGTGAAATCCCCAAGTGTTGGCGGGGACAGAGCTGGAGAGTTACTGGTGGAAACATTAGCCCCTGTTGTTTGGACCTGCCTCTCTGCTGGCAAGCTGGTCCCCCTGGCAGAGGTGCTCCCCGGGAGAATTAGGCGTTGGATGGGCATAAAAGATGCACAGCTGCTGTTGCTATGGTCACCATTCATAGAGCACTAATGCCACACAGCAGCCCTGTGAAACAGGTCACACGGCTGTTAAGCAGCAGAACCAGGATTCCAAGTCTGTGCTCTTTTGGCCTCTAGGGTTCACACTTTGGAGTTCCAAGATTTGCAATATGACCGCAGTTCTTAAAGAACTTTGGTAGAGGCTGCTGGAGACGCACATCCTCAGTGAACAGGCTGGTGGACTGTTAGAACAAAAACACTGAACTTTCTCAAGGGGAGGTCACACTGAACCCGCCTACCAGACCTCTTGTAGTAGCAAAAACATGTCAGCAAAGGAAACCAGTAGCTTTAGTGTGTTTCAATTTTTCAAAAGTCTTGGGCAAGGTTCCATGCCAAAAAATTTTCCATAACTAGAAAAAAAAAAGTAATTGCTTCCCTGTGGCTTTGCAGGGAATGCTTTGTCATGCATAGGAGCCAGTTTAGGGAAAGAAAAATATTCCTAAGGATGAATGTGTGCTTTTCTTGATGGAGAGTTGTGAACAGCAGGGTCTCACAGGGGTTGGTGCTAGAGAGTCCTAGCTCAGATTCTTTAAAATTAGAAACCTGGGAGAGCAAGTATATAGTGAAAATTCTACGTCAACAGGATTTTTGGGAAATGAGAAGCCAAATTAATGGAATGTGTATGCTTTTGCTTTGGTACCCAAATCATTGCTAATGATATTAACCTGTTTGCCACAGTCATGGACAAGAGGTTTTATCCATTCGACACGCATCTGTTGTGTGCTCCTCTGTGCCAGGCGCTGTGCTGGGCGCAGGCATGTATCATATATGTTGTAATTCTGCTTCACGAAAGAGGGATCTCATGGCTCTTCCACTTGCTTTTATTTACTAATGTAAACATCACAACACAAAGAACTGCCTCCCCCTTTTCCATGTCTTCCTGGTGGCATTTCCCTGTGACATGACTGTGCAGCAATTTAATCAGTTCCCTCTTGTTGGGCGTTTCCATAATTTCTGGATTGGAAACACTGTCACAATCTAGCCTTTAACATCCCTGTGCTCAGATATTTGTACATATGGATAAGCGTTTCTGAGGGTAGTCACCTGGAAGGGAAATTACTGGGCCGAAGTGTACATGCATTTAAATGTTTGATAGGTGCTCATGAATTGCCTGCAGAAAGCATCCGGTTCCGTTTTAATGACCCAGTGCACTGCCTATTTCCTCAAATCCCTACCAACACTGGATATCACATTCGTTTCCTATTGCTACTGTAACAACTTACCACGCATTTAGTGGTTTGAAAACAACATGAATTTATTACCTTACAGTTCTGTAAGTCAGAAGTCCGGCAGGCGCCTCGCTGGGCGGAGCTCGGCGTCACGGTGCACTCCTCCTGGAGGCTGCAGGGACAGCCTGTTGCCTGGCCCGTGGCTCCTGGCCATCTTTAAGCCAGTGGAGTCGGGATGACTGATGGAGCCTCTCCCCGTGGTATCGCTCCGACTCTGTCTCTGCCCCTTTTCCATCTCCATAGCCCCTTCCGATTACATTGGATAATCCAGGGGTCCCTCCTTAGCATCAGGTCAGCCAATTAGCAACCTAATTCCCTCTGTGACTTTACTGTCCCCCTGCCATGTAACGTGGCGTGTCCGTGGGTTCTAGGGAGCGGGATGTGGACATCAGGGGAAGGGGGCAGTATTGTGCCGACCACAGGTATCCTCCACCTTTCTAATGGTTTTCACTGGAAGTGACAACGTGGTATCCTGCTCTTTGAAGTTGCATTTTCTTGATTGTTGGTAAGGTCAAACATCTCCTTCTGTGTGGAGAGGCAAAGCGGTTTGTTACTGGGAGTTGTCTGTTTATACCATCTGTCTTCTTTTCCAGTATCTTTTGCCTTTTTATCTTTTTTTTTTTTTGTAATATATCTTTATTGATTTCAGAGAGAGGAAGGGAGAGGGAGAGAGAGAGAGAGAAACATCAATGATGAGAGAGTCATGGATCGGCTGCCTCCCGCACGCCCCCGACTGGGGATCGAGCCCGCAACCCGGGCATGTGCCCTGACCGGGAATCGAACCACGATCTCCTGGATCCTAGGTCGACACTCAACCGCTGAGCCACTCCAGCTGGGCTTCTTTTGCCTTTTTTTTAAAAAAAACTGAATTATAAATTCCTTGAGGGCAAGGACCTTCTCGGATTCATCCGAGGTCTTCAAAATGTGGCCAGGCTCAGAGAGAGACTCCATGCCTGTGGGCCGCCCTCCCTCCCATCCCATTCCTGTGCTGCTCTGCTTGGGAAGAAATGTCAGGACACTTCCGCTGAGCTGGCCGGGTTGTCTGTGTGTAGGGAGCGTGGTGGCTGAGACAAGGCTCGTCTGGTGGTTTGCTTACAGCCCAGTGGACTTCTCAGGCCATCTGGGCTCGGGGGTCAAGCAGACTGAGCGCCCAGCCCCCAGCTCAAGTTTTGACTCCGGCAGCCCTTTCACCCCCACACCCACCCGAGCGTTTCTCACGCGTAAAAACAGTGATTGTGGCACGCTGACATTTTAGGGTTGCTGGCGTGAGAACTGGGACAAGCACTGACTCGCTTTGAGAGGGAGGACCCTGCTTGCCACAGTGATCAGTGGGCTGACGTGAGTCAGATGCTGGGGAGACAGAGAAGAACAATTTTCTGTCATTTTACAGGGCAGCAGGCAATGTGTTCTTTGACATTTTAAAATAACTCACAGTAAAGATTGAAATTGCTTTTCAGTTATGCTGGGTGTCAACCCTTGTTTCTTCTGGAGCCCCGGTGACCACAGGGCCTGGTGTAGGCAGGTCCCACCCTCCTCCTAGAACTTCTAGAAGGCTTGCTAGGGCCCCAGAATCCCTGCCTCAGGAGAGTCTTTCTCATCCTCAAGTCGCTGACGGCTGCAGCTGGAGCCCTGAGCCCCTTCTCCCAGGGGCTGGTGGTGGGAAAGGTCCCCCTACCCTGACCTGACTACTGTCCTGGGGGCCTCCCTGAGCCTCCATAGTGATCCCCACTGCTGCCTGCTGGAGGGGCCGCAGCCGGGTCCGGGTGGAGAGCCCCTGGCAGGGTCCTCCGTGGTGGCTCTCGTCACAGCCTCCCCCCTCCTGCCCTCTCTCCTCTGCGGCTGCCATGGCCTAGGTCTGAGCTGGCACAGCCCTGCTCCTGCCCGGTGACCCCCCCTGACCTCCCTGTCTGGGCCTCAGTGCTGGGCAGACTCCCTTCCTTCCTTCCCTTGCCCATTGCTCCAGCCGAGTGGGGCTGGCAGCCCTGAGAAGGCACCTGGGCTGGGAGGGGGCGGACCGCCAGCGAGCCCTCCCCGCTTCTGGAAGCCGGCAGCTGCCTTTGTGGGCCCCAGCCCCAGGACCCTGAGGCGGTTCCCTGCAGCCGCCCTTTTTCCTCTCAGTCAGCAAGGCCCCGTGGAACTGCGGCCGCTCCTGCCCAGCCACCCGGGGCCTGCAGCTCATTAGCTCTCTTTATTAAATCCATGTGCCCGGAGCTGAAGACTGGCCCAGGACCTCCGAGCTCCCGGCCCTGGGTGTGTGAGGCCAGGCTGCACAGGGAGGCGATTGTGGGAACTGGGTGTGGCCTCCCAGAGGGCAGGGGCCTAGGTGAGCCCTGTGGGTGGGGCCCTGCAGCCCTGGGGAGAGGGTGCTGAGGAGTGAGCGGGGCAGGGCTGAGTGAGGGCCAGTGAGGGCTGTCTGGGGACTGTTTCTGCGCCCTGAGCCTGTGGGGCTGAGACTGGGGTGGGACTCTGCCCTTTTTGGGCATGGTGGGCTTGCTGACCTGCCCCTTCTGACGAAGCTGCCCCCCCCCAGGAGTGCATGATTGACGAGGACTGCGGGTCCCGCAAGTACTGCCAGTTTGCCAGCTTCCAGTACACCTGCCAGCCGTGCCGGGACCAGCAAACAGTGAGTGTCCAGAGGCCTCCGGGGCTGCAGCACCAGGGCCGTGGGGGCCCAGCAAAGAGCCCTCGGGGAGACGCCAGCAGCCCCACATTCTCAGCAGGCCTCCTGGAAACCTCCTGTGGGGCTCTACCCCTTCCTGGCTCAGAAGAGCCTCTCCCTGGCGGCCAGTGGGCTGACTCCTGGAGTGACCAGGAGGCCATCTGCAGTCCTGCTGCCTCATGGATCACAGGCAGCCCTCTGTTTTCCAACCATCCGCGGCTGGGAGCTGCAGTTGTCCCTCCCAGTCTGTCCCGCTGGGTGCCTCACTGAGCACAGCTGTGGGGAACCCACTTTGCTCTTTATTTGCCATTCCCCATGTGTGACTCCAAGCCCTTGGCACCCATGTGCCTGACCATTCACATGGCCTTCCCTGGCTTGGGCCTTAACGTAATCAGCTTATAAGAATCACAGTGCTGCCGGCCCTGTGGCCCTAAGCCACCTTCCTTCCTGACCTAGGGGCCTAATAAGAAGGAGGCAGGGCACAAGTCTGTGGGCGAACCACAAAGACACGCTGCACCCTTTAAAGGCAAAGTCTGAAGCTGTGTGGGAAGGCTCAGGTTCATGCATCCCCCCAGGGCCGGTTCCCAGTGTTCTGACCCCTCATGTATGTCTCAGCAGCCCTGTTCCCATGACCTAGGGCCTCAGTTCCCTCCTCTGTACAGTGGAACGATGTGGTTGGCTCACCTGTAGCATCTTAAGACTTTCCCTCTGGGGCTGGTGAGAGGCTGGCCTCTCCCAGGTCTATGAGCTTCGGGCTGTTGTGTTTTCCCACCTCGCTGCAGCTCTGCACCCGGGACAGTGAGTGCTGTGGAGACCAGCTGTGCGTCTGGGGTCACTGCTCCGAAACAGCCACCAAAGGCAGCAATGGGACCATCTGCGACAACCAGAGGGACTGCCAGCCAGGGCTGTGCTGTGCTTTCCAGAAAGGTGGGTGGCCCCCTTCTGGGTGCAGGGTGAGCCCTGTCCCAAGCACCTTAATGTAATCAGCTTTCACTCCCCTCCACTCACCATCCCGCTCCACTCACTCCCCAACCCTGAGGTAGCGCCTGGCTCCTGTCCTGTTTCCTGTGAACTGAACCACCCCCTTGTACCCCCATCTTCCCTGCTCACTGCCCCTCCCAGGTGAGGTCAGCTCAGGCACTCTCCCCTCCCAGGAGCGTTTCTGAAAACCTCTCCCGTGGCCACCTTCCCCAGCCCCCTGTCCACCTGGTACCTGCCCCTGCAGTTTTAGGACAGCTTTCTGGATATCACTCCTCTGGGAGCTGCAGCCACTCCTGTTCTGTCACTTTAGTTAGACTCCCCAGTCCACCTGCCAAGCCTTGGCCAGCACCAGCTGACCTGTCCTCCTTTTCTCACCAGTGCTCCTCGGCCCCTTTTGGGAACCTCACTGCCCCAGCCTGAGCCCAACACCAGGCTTTTGTTGGTGCTGTGCCCCAGCCTTGAACACCTTTCTTCCACTATTAATTTCTTCAGACCTCTGGCCTCAAAACCCAGCACAAGCCCACCTCTTCCAGGCAGTCCTCCTTAATTGCTCCAGCCCTCCCAGCTCATTCTCTCTTGAGCCCCTACTGCCATTCTTGTTTCCTCTCACTCCACTTCTTCAACCCTAACGCCCACTTTGGGGTCAAGGGTGGAAAGTGGGAGGCTGTATCCCATCTCTCTGCCCCCTCCCCTGGTGCTAGGGCTCAGGGGTGACTTTTGGCACATTCTAGGTCTGTTGTTCCCTGTGTGCACACCCCTGCCCGTGGAGGGCGAGCTCTGCCATGACCCTGCCAGCCGGCTCCTGGATCTCATCACCTGGGAGCTGGAGCCTGATGGAGCTTTGGACCGATGCCCCTGTGCCAGTGGCCTCCTCTGTCAGCCTCACAGGTGAGGCCCCACCTGTCCTCCTTGACAGGGGCCACGGGGGAATGAGGTGCCACCCAGTGGGGACTCAGGAGCAGGAGGAAGTGTGGGTTCTGTTTAGGATAGGTTTGATGTGACGTGTCCTTGGGTCTTCCAGATGGAGGGGATCAGTAGCAGTCAGAACCTAGGACTAGGACTGAGAAGGTGTGGCCGGGGGTACAGAGCTGGGGCTCGTCTAGATGGTGGTTGAAGCCTCGTGAGTGGGTGGTCTGGGAAGAGGATGTGGAGGGAGGAGCACTGAGGGCTGAGGGGAGCCCAGGCCCGTTAGACAAAGGACAAGCTGAGAAGGCGCCATCGGAGTTAGGAGGGAAACCAGGAGAGCCTGGCCCCCAGCCCCGAGGTGAAGGGCACAGACAATTGTTTGGAGGCTGCTGAGAGACCCAAAAGCATCCGGGCTGCACCATGGCCTTTTCTCAATGAACGGCTTCCCGGACCTCCCAGCAGCCGCTGCTCAGCCTTGTCTCCCAGCAGAACCCAGGGTGGCTGGGCAGACAGAACCCCCTGCCCGCCCCACAGGCCCCGGGCGCTGCTCCTGCCTGGAGGCCCAGAGGCGCAGGGGGCCGAGAGGGGCACTTCCACTGCTGTAAATTCTCAGACCTCCCGGTCCTCGGGCCTGCCCCTGGGAGGCCGAGCCCATCAGTCAGCCACAGGAAGCCAGACCTGCCCCTGGAGATGGGGGGCTGCCCCTCAAGTACATTCTCTAAAAGCGAGCAATCTTTTCTAAGGCAGGATGTTGACAGGAAGGTAAGACTGTTGAAGAGATGTTAGAGGAGGGGTTGGGAAGGTGAGACCGGGTGACCTGCCGACTGCAGCGTAAGGTAGAGCCTTTGTCTCAGGCCCAGGCTCCCCACGCTGAGAGCCCGGCTTTGCCCCCATGGGGAGACATGGCCTAGGCTGAGCTGCCCCTCCCTCCCCAGCCACAGCCTGGTCTATGTGTGCAAGCCCACCTTCGTGGGGAGCCGCGAGGAAGCCGGAGAGAGCCTGGTATCCAGAGAGGCCCCCGGCGATTATGGCGATGGCAGCTTCATTGAGGAGGTGCGCCGGGAGCTGGAGAACCTGGAGAGGAGCCTGTCGGTGGAAATGGCCCTCGGGGAGCCCAACCCCGCCTCTGAGCTGCTGGAGGGAGACGAGATTTAGACCCAGGCTTGTTCTGCGGGTAGACGTGCAATAGAAGTAGCTAATTTATTTCCCCAGCTGTGTCCTCTAGGTGTTGGCTCACCAGGCTTTTTTTCCATGGCCTCTTCCCAGAACATTTTCCCTCTGGCTTGAAACGAAATGAGGTGCTGCACACTTGTCCAGCTCCCCCAGGCTGCACCCCACGCAGCTCAGTTCTGGTGCCGGGGAAGGCCTGGGCTGCGAGTGAAGGCAGAACGGGACTGCTAAGCAGGTCCCATTCCTGGCTGCTTTGCCTCTGCAGGGTGGCAGATGGCACGTTTCATTTTGTTCTGCGCGCCCCCAGGAGGGAACAGAAAGGATGCAGGATTTCCTCGTGACGGGTCTTGGGGAAATGTTGATGCTTACACATGTGGAGAGGAGTGCCCTGTTTAGCAAACAAACCTGGTGGAAATGCAACAAATGAAATTTTCATGCAGTTCCTCGCATGGGCACAGGTCAGCTGTGCCTTCATCTGCTGCAGGTGACAGGTTCTGCTGCCTCCGAGTTATACACGTTCAGCTTTTCAGCAGTCTCTCAGCTCCTACCTCTGTGCCAGGCAAGCAGCTTCACGTCCATAGTCAAGTCCTGCTGCCACCACAGGCTGGCGAAAGGGGCGTTGCCCTCCCCAGCCATCAGCATCTTGGGGGCTCAGAGGTGTCAAGTTGCTTGTCCAAGTCACACAGCTGGTGAAGACCAGAGCAGGACTTCACCCAGCTGTGACTCCAAGCCCAGTGCTCTCCCCACCACTACCCACCAGCCTCGGTGCCACCAAAGGTTCCCCCTTAAAAGACGAAGAATGAGATTTTTTCTTTTTCTGAAGCACATCTGGAATGAAGGTCAAACTAGTTCTCACATCTGTACAAGAGTAGACTTCTACTCTTAGAAACAGTGTTCTCCCCAGTGTGGGGATGGTCATCATTCTAGTGGTGACAGGTGGTACTGACACTGTCCCCTGTGGCAGTTAGTTACATTAGTCACTTTGAAGGTACATGATTGGAGCATAATATTTAAGTTAACTTGCCAGAAACAGTACTTGGGTAATTGTAGGGCCAGGATTATAAATGAAATTTGCAAAATCACTTACCGGCAACTGTAGACCATTATCGACCATGTGGAAAAAATCATACCAAGCAAGGCTCTGTGAAATATGGTTGTAATATCCAGGCTGAGAGCACGGAACTGTATGCTTTTCCTCAAATGGTATTTTCAGGTCATGGACTGTTTCCATCGTGTACTCATCCAGAGCTATTAAATTTTAAAGTTGCACATGATTGTATAAGCATGCTTTCTTTGAGTTTTAAGTGATGTATAAACACATATGTTGCATTTAAAAATCAAGCATAAATCACTTAAACTCCTCTTTTGTAGTTCTTGGACTTCTTTTTTCCTTTCGACTTTGAGTAAATAAAAAACCCTTTCAGCCAGAAAAAATAAAATAGAAATTACCTGCACTGTAAAAAAAAAAATTTAAAAAAATCTCTTCCATGTAAGTAAATTTTTCAGACAACTAAAACACACCTCTTTTAGCGTCAAAATATTTTAAAAATGCTAACCATTTCTGGATGGGAATTAGTCTTAAGAGTGTCAACATTTCACTGTCTTTGAAGTAAATGGAATGTGTATGACCCTTTTCTTGGGAGCCTTCATTAATCAAACACTGTTCTGGGCCATAACACAGTAGGACCTTCAGGGACTATAATAATAAAGTTACTATATATTAAGGTCATCTGGGTGGCAGGCAGTCTCTCTATATTAACTCTTTAATCTTCTTGAATTCATGTATTTTCTCTATTTAACAGATGAAGAAATGGAGGCTCAAAAAGGTTGTGATAGAGCTGGAAGTCAGACAAAAACAGCATGAAGTGTAGTATGCCCAGGATCAAGCGATAACTTTAAGATCAAATATAGAGCTGTTCTCTAGTCAGTGTTAAAAATCATCAGGACCATTCCGCATTCTTCTCATTCAGTAGATGTTTACACGGAGCCTGCTCAGAACCGGGTGCTGTGATGTGCTCTGGGGGCGCCAAGCTGGTCCTGATAGGGCCCCTGCCCTGAAGGCATCACCGCCTAATGAAGGAGATACACTACACCCAGCACGCAAGCAGTCAACCGGGTATCGTAATAGAAAGTTATTGTGCCTCAGAGGATCGCTTGACTTGGGAAACCTAGCATGGGAACTGGCTCTCATAGATGACAGGAGTTGGTCAGGAGGCCAGAAGGAATAGGAAAAGGCATTCTGGGCCATGGGGGGGGGTCAGGAGGAATGGTATGTAGGGGAAACTGCAAGTAATTGACGGTGGCTGGAAGACAAGGTACACTTGAGCAAGTGTTTGGAGAATAGGCTGAAAATTATTTCAACCAAAAAATTTATTAAGCAGCCCTGGCCGGTGCGGCTCAGTGGTTAGAGTGTCGGCTCAGGCACCAAAGGGTCGTGGGTTCAATTCCCAGCCCAGGACATGTACCCAGGTTGCAGGTTTAATCTTCAGCCCCAGCAGGTGCATGTGCGGGAGGCAACAATCGTTTCTCTCTCACATCTCTCTCCTTATCTCCCTCTCTCTCTCTCCCTCTCCCTTCTACTCTCTCTAAAACTCAGTGGAAAAAATAACATCGGGTGAGGATTGACCAAAAAAATTTATTGAGCCCCTACTATCGGTCGGGCCCTACATTAAGTGCTGGGGAGACAATGGCACATGAGATAACAGTAGCCTCCTCCCTCACGGGCCTGTATGAAGGTGTATTGTCTTGCTCGGCTGAGATCCACACACAGGGAAGCGATGTAGCGCCTTTCCTCACAGTTCTAAATGGAATGTGCTAAGGGTTCGGTGGAGTTCGGTGCTTGAATCTTACTGCCTGCCTTGCTCTGGGGTCCCCAGTTGCTGCCAAGAAAGGGCAGATGTAGCTTCACCGCCCAAAGCTGTTCCCAACCCTCTTTCTTGCCCTTCTCCCACAACAGACGCTGGGAAAGCCAGTCCCCCGTGCACCCAGGGATGACCCAGTTTGGGCCCAAGAAATGTGAGGGGAAGGCCGCCAGTTTCTGGGAAGGGTTTTTTTTCCTGGGTGACAAAAGAGGCACACAGGAAGAAGGGCCCACCCCCACCCCGGTTCCCTGCCTTCAAGCCCAGGGCTTTAGCAGGTGCCAGTGGCCACTGTGCCAGCTGTCTTGTGGTCACGTGGTCGGGATCGAGGCGGGGTCAGCTGGCCGCAGTCCTCCCTGCAAGCCCGGGGAGGAAACCGTTTCCTTTCCCCTCTCAGCCTCTAGAGGTCACTCATTCCTTGGCTCGTGGCCCCCTTCGCCTTCAAGTCCACAATAGATAGAGTGCTTTCCTGAGTCGGCTCCCTGGTTCTCTGCCCCTGGAAAGGTTTTTTACTTCTAAGGGCTCACAGTATTAAATTGGGCCCACCTAGATAATCCAGAATCATCTTCCCACGTTGAAGTCCTTAACCTTGATGACCTCATTCGGGGGCCATTATTCCGCCTACCTCAGGAGGGTAAGACTAGGTCCTGGATGACGTGAAGAGGAAGGCAATCCTGCTACCGGCCACATCTGGACCCCTTTTCCAGTAAACCCCCAGGATTATTATAGAGGTGCTGTTAGTCTTTCCGTTATTTGAAGCCCAAAGCGCCCCTCACTGAGAGAGAAAATGGCATGATGAACAAAAGCCGAAAGGGGAACAAAGTACAGCTGTAGGAATCCCAACCCACCCACGTTTCCACCCCGCCCCGTGCACGGCTCTGGAGAGAGCAGGCGAAAACGCGACGTTTGGGCGTGAGCTGCAGGCTCGGCGTCCTGCCCTGGGGAGACTGGGGGCCGAGCGCCCGCAGGGCCGGGGAACAAGCAGGAGTGTGCCGGGACAAGAACAGAGGCCGCGGCTCTTCCTGCTCAGTTCCCTCTCCCTTTCCCCCTCCGTCCCTGGTTTCTTCCGCCTCACTGCCTCACTAGTCTGGTTCTTGGGGCCTTTGACACAGTTGGGAGAAAGGGCTGCTGGGCAGAAGGACGAGAGTTGGAGAGAGAAGGGGCCCCACGGTGGCGTGAAGGCAGAGGGTGGGATCAGAAAGGGGATTTAAGTATTCACGCGGCCTGTGCATCCCCTTCAGACAGTCAAGAAATGCAACTCGATTAGCCTTCGACGGCTCAGAGGCCAGCAGCTGGGGCGCAGGTATCTCCGTGCAGGGCTGGCCGAGGTGCCACGTCCGCAGCACACAGCTGTCCTGTGGAAGGACCAGGACGGCGGTAAGAAATCCCCTTTGGGAAGTTAGAGCGTTTAGAAACAGCCTACTTCCCGTCCCGACCTCCCATGAAGGAGGGAATTTAGACTTATCCCCTTGACTGAGACTAAAACTTTCAGAGAAACTCATGCAATTTGTATGGGAGCGATCGACACATTACAGGGGGCCCGGCTGTGCAGAAGCTGCAGGTCCCGCTGATTGCCAACAGTTTCCCGCAGGAGCGCCAGGGAGCCGCGGCTTGTTGGAACAGCGATGCAGCGAGGGGCAGAGGCAAAAAGCATGATTCTGACAGCACTGGTCCCTATAGGGCTACGGAAAAGACGAGTGAGGGCGGAAGCCTTGGTGGGGCCAGGGCAGCAGGGGACAAATGGCACACGTTGCAGAGGAAGGCTCTGGCCAGCAGGGGGCTGGCAAGAGTCAGGTTTCATAAAGGACCCCCAGTGCTGTTTGGAGTTAAGTCCTTGGCTGGTAGGACCCGCAGGGCACCTCTTCATAGTGAATTTATGGACCAGACGAAAGGGGACAGTAACCTCTCCGTGACCAACAGGAGAGCGCATGTAAGGGGCCGTCTCTACCCCTCCTCCCTTTCCTACAGTGCAGAGCTGGCGCAGCAGAGCAGGTGGGGGAGAGAGCACTCCCCTCTCCAAGCAGGAGCAGCACATGCAGCGGGTCCTGTGTGTGGTGGGGGAGCTTTGAATCAAATGACTGAAACTTTAATAAGATAGTTTTAATAATGCAAAGTGACTTAAAAGTTACAGGATTGCACTGAGGACTCAATGGCAGCCGACTTCCAGGGGAAAACAGCATTCAACAGAGCACACACGGTTGGGAGTTACTGGAAAAATAAAACCATTGCATATTTGTATCTCAAGTTGATGCTCCTTAATTAAATGGGTTATTTAAGCATTATCAGAGAGGCGGAAAACTAAGTGTGCCCTCTACTGGGGCAAGGGCAGGTTGGGGGCAGAGCGCAGGCTGTACAGGGCCCACCAGCAATTCCTGGCCTGCGAGTTCTCAGGCTGACCGGTCAGAAGACCAGCTTCTCCTGGAGATGGGGAAAGGGGCAGAGCATTCTGCCCCGATGTTTTTTTGCCCTCCCAGCTTGGCCCTATTGATTGCTGCATTCTTTCCTAAACACTCACACTTGCTTTAACACACTCCTGATTTTGTCAAGTATTCCTAATTGATTCTGAAAGCCAAGTTTTGAAAATTAACACTGTATCTATGTGACCACAGCACCCCCACTCCCCTTCCCCATGTGAGCGGCACTGAAGAAGCACCTGACTTCATGTACTCTTAAGTCTAGGTGGTGACGAACTTTGAGTGACAAACTCCTTTATAAATGTGGTTTAAAAAAACCATTTTACTAACCCCCTACAAAACTACATACACACAATTTTCCATTTAAGAATTTATGGCCTTTTGACCGCTAGTGACCAACTGTTTTTCAAAAATTACACAGAGTTGTTCAGATGGAAGAGTTTTATTTAGCAAACAAACAAAAAAAAACTGGCTAATTCAGATTTTCTATTCCATGTACTCTAGACTACAATTTGAAAGTCACAAGCACAAAAGAGCTGGTTTAGGGTCTCGATGCTAAACAAAAAGACAAAATTCAGAGGGAGAACTTCAGTAGCCAAATGAACCAGAATAAAAGTTTATTGTAGTCCATACATTCACAGTCTCTTCCACATTTAGTGCACTCATTTAGCTTAGACCACATTGTAAGTCTGCAGCTCTCCTCTCTTGGCCTAGAGATGTGCCACAAAGCCGTTCCCAACAGTGCAGCCTGGCAACCAACAGCTACTGGACTATTTTCTAGCTGTGGCACAGGTTCACCCTGCGCTCTCAGAATTTTAAAGTACATTCCATTACAGCACAAGACAAAGCACCCAACAATCTACTGTAGGGCTCCTTCACTCGCTATTTCTCTCTCCATGAGTACCATCTTTCCTTTCCTTAGTTTCTGAAGTGGACCTTCAATTAGTGAACTTCTGTACAGGCCAGGTAACCACAGCATGGTCCTCAACCACGGCTTTTCCTTCTTTGGAAAAGAAGACATTTTTCTTAAGAATGAAATTTCGAAGTGGCCAGAATGCACCCCTCGCCTTCAGCACCTGCCTCAGAAACGTAGGTACA